AAAAAATAAAAAAATATTCATACTTAGCACACTACTGTTATGGGCATAGGACTTCTTGCATGGGACTTTATCAATTACTACTGTAAAAGTTATATACTGCAGAAAAGTTTTTTAACCACAACTAGTAGAATGCAACAATGAAAAAAATGTCTCTGTCCCAAAAAATATATTTATCAAAGAAATGTCATCTGATATGTAATCGTACAACTTTCTTTGCAAACTATTCGTTGTTAGAACCAACATTTTCTCTGAATACTCTAGTGTTTTATTGTTTTTATCTTATTGAAAAAATCTAAAGTAAGTTTTTATGTTCGAATCTGAAAAGAAGTTATTAGCATAAATTTGATCATGTAAAAAGAGATATAAATAACAAAATGAATGTACACAACCCAAAGGTATTAGGGATCATAGATTTATTCTTACGAGGAAGCTCCGAGCATGCTCGGAGGATGCTCGGAGCTTTTTAAGAAGGCTCTTCTCAGCAGTTAATGTGACAATAATTATCATGATCCATTAAGATGTCAATCAAATCTACACCACTTCTATGATAAGGAAAGTAGAGCATTATAGAGGAAGCTCCATTAACACCTGTGTAAACATCTAGTCTATTCAAATACATTTTGCATGAAATTTTACAAAACTATAAAATAGATTAAAAATTCTTCAACAGTGCTGTGTAATGCTTGGAAAGAAATCTCAAGTCTCCACAAAAAGTAAAAGTCATTTAAATATTTTCTTATTATATTTAATAATCATTCCTTTTTTTATAATAAAAAAATTCTCAAATTATATAATTAAATGATATGATTTAAGAATAGTTATATTATATAATATGCTACATAAAAGTTATAGAGAAACAAACAACAGTCAGGTGACGATACTAAAAGTAATTTTTTTTAGTCACTTTTATAATTATTTTTCATTTTTAAAAATTATTTAATAACTCAATAGTTATTTTAAATGTCAAATAAAGCATGGACTAAATGTAGTTTTTAAGAATTTTTATATCATTTCATTAAATAAAATTAAGTATTTATTCAATTTGAGATGAGTATAGAGCATGTAGAGAGGTTACTTTAAAAAATATAACTTTAATAAATTATTTTATACAACTTAAAAAAACTTAGTACTTACAATTATTTAAGGAATATATGTAATTGCTTTTGATTAAGATTCAAATTATAAATAACTTCAAGTCTAAAAAAAGGTTCCATATCTAGTTATAACTGTCTATCTCTATTAAAGATTTTAAGGGAAAATGATATTTTAATAGCCCCAAGAGGCCAATCTTTGACCAAGAAGTGTGGCATCAGAAAAGCAATTAGTGCTTGTTGAGGATTTAAATAGTTTTACTAGTATATTTCATGGGGAAAATAACCAGATGTCTGTGAAAATTTGTTAAAGCTAGTAAAACTTGTATGAATGGTCACCTATAAAAATAATATTAACAGAAGTTAATTATTCAGGATATAGAAGTAATATTTGAAACAGCCTCGTTTTCAACATAATTTGTATAGGTAATTTTGAAAATTACTTGTTTAAATAATGCCCCTAACTAAACAATGGTAATATGTTTTTTAAATAGCAAACTAAATTCTTTTATAGAAAATTATAGCTACTTTAAGAAAAGTTGTAATTCATTAGTGGAAACCTGGTTTGAGGGGTAATACCACCATTGTTTTTAGTACGTCTCTCTTTACTTGGCATTTGTTTTTTAATTGTGCAGATTTAGCTTTGTTTTAAATAAAGAAATACTTTGCATGAGTAAAATTATTTCCCCCCTATATTTAGTCTTTGTTTAATTATCATGATTGTTATATTTCAAAAAAAAAGTGCAGAATTTATCTATGTTTTAAATAAAGAAATACTTGACATAAATAAAGTTTTATCCTGTCCTGTACTACAGTGAAAATATAGCATAACTTTTCAGTGCATATAAGAAAGTAAACATCACCAGAAGTTAACCAATCAAATTCTCTCCCCCTTTTTTCCCTGTAGAATATAGTATATTTTTATTGCTTAAATTGAAACACCCAAGATACATGTTTACAACTCAAAAAAACTTTTCTGCAATGAAATGGAGGGTTAATTTCAAACAACTGTAAAATTAAATGGAATATAAAAAAAGATCAACCCTTTTTCGCCTGAAACTGAATGTACTATGTTTTGGTAGTATGGTTATAAATCAATAACCATAGTTTGTGTCTTTGATGACTTTTATATTTCATTTTATATAGTATAAATTTAAAATATATTTAAATTTTAAATACAAAAAAGAATGATAATTATTAAGAAAATGTTTTAAAATCATTTTTTTCTGTGAAGACTTGATACCAAGCATTGTACAGTAATATTGAAGAATTTCTCATCTATTTTATAGTTTTGTAAAATTAATGCAAGATTTGTTTGAATAGACCAGATGTTTACACAGGTGTTAATGGAGCTTCCTCTATAATGCTCTACTTTCCTTATTATAAAAGTGCTATAGATTTGATTGACATCTTAATGGATCATGATAATTATTGTCACATAAACTGCTGAGAAGAGCCTACTAAAAAAGCTCCGAGCATCCTCCGAGCATGCTCGGAGCTTCCTCGTAAGAATAAATCTATGATCCCTTAGTAACTATGTAATCACTGCAGTTAAAAACGAAAAACCAAAATACATAAAAAGAAAAAAATTTTCATAATACTATATGTTACAACATAAAACCAAAATTCACAAAACCAAAAGACAAACAAATTGCAACATGAAGAAGAATTCCACGTTATTGGTTTTATTTAAGTTAAAAAATTCACATCTACATAACAGAAGAGACAAGAATCACACGGAACATGTATTTTGATTGTACTATGCACAGTAAAGAACTTTTTTTTTCCACAGAAATAATAATGACGCTTAATGACAATATAAAAATTACAAGTAAATCTGAGAGGAAACACTTAAATATCTTTCATGCTTAATTAAATATAACAGAATGATATGCTGCAAGTTTGTGTGTCAAGGTCATACTTCATTTAAAATGAAAATTTAGCATTGATCAATAAGCCATGAAAATGAGGTCAAACTCACTGAACCATAAAAAAATAAGGTTAGGATCAACTGACATATGCCAGATAGAAACTGTAGATCATAACACATATGTATATAAATATGGATTATTCAGCTCCTTCACTTTCTGAAAAATAAACCTATGCAAAATGCTTACATATTGGACATGCTTAGCATACCTTTACATCACTATCGTCAATAATTTTTGCAGGTGAGACAATAAGAAAATATACAAATACAGAGAAGCATATATGGTTAGTAAATCTGATAATAGTAAATCATGTAGTATATTCATTAAAAAAAAAAATATCTAAATCTTATTTGTAAAAAACCACATAACCATAACAATCTAATAAATGATTTACCGGGGAAAATAAAGGAATGTTTCAGTAGAGTTAAAAAAAAAAAGGAATTGGTGTTTTGGGGGATGAGTGAGGATAATAGCTATAATTCTTACAACAAATAAACACTGTGAAATAATCACAATTATCTGGCTTTTTGTGACCACAATAAAACTTTTAACTGAAGGCATGGATTTTGATAAATAGAATTATGAGCGCTAAATTTTTGAATCCAGTAAATTACATATTTTCACTGACTTGCATAGTATTGAGATTGAAATAAGTAGTAAATAATTAAATAAGTTTTCATAATATATACTATTCATGACTTCTACAAAGGAAGGCTAAATTCAGCTGTTTAAATAAAAAAAAAAAACCAATGTAAACATCCCCACAAAATGCTGAAATCAGACAGTGGAAATTTTTGTTAACATAATATACTGGATTTTTTTTTCAAAAATATCTGACATATACCAGAAACTTTCCTCCTATTGGTCTTGGTCAAAACTATTAGTACAGATAAACTTTCTATTTGTGCAGCTTAACATTATATGCAGATCAAAGAGAAAAATCATGGACTATTAATAAATAGGAACAAATAAGATCTTACATTTCTATACTTCGATGTACCAAGAAATCAACTTTGACATACAACTCAAAGAAAACTATAAAAGACTTACTTCACTCTTACATTTGTTTCATGAAGGCAGCAAAGTTTAGTTCAGGGTTTTAATAAAACTGAACAGTAAAAATATTTCTATTATATAATGAATAGACAGGTCATTGAAATAAATATTTTAAATACAAATTCAACAAACTATTAGACATTTAATATTAAAAGACTTCTATCAATCAACCAAAAAAAAGAGAGAAAAAAAAATGAATACTATAACAAATATGCATCTTTACAAATTTATAACCACATTTATAAAAGATTTTTTGAGCACTATATCTCTACATAATAGTTGAAAAAAGAAAAAATCCGTATTTAAGTATTACTTTCTTTAAGTATTATGATATCAATACTGACAATGGTCAGGATCAATGGTGGGTACAACAGTGGACTTTATAATATGTAAATTTTTATCGGAATAATTTTCAATATAATCTTCTTTCCCAAAAAGAAATAGTCGCATCAGTAATAATTTAAGTTCTTTAACGAAATAACCAGTATTCATCTTAAAAGCAATACTGTTTATGAGGATAATTATCAGAAATAACTTATAAACAATATTCAATAAAAAAAAGTTTTTAACATTGAAGCAGCTAAAAGAATTGTACTTTGGAAGGACTTTTTTAAAATCTTAATCCAGTTTCAATATAAACAAAAATGTGGTTACATATTAGGATATAAGAAAAGATATATAAGGAAACAATTGATGTATTTTAATAGTCGACTCAATGTGAGCTGGAAACCATCCTTTAGAAGCATTTTTACCAATCGATGAATTACTTCCCTATTACAGCAAACACTTGATAGTTCAATATATACAACAATTCATTCACACATGATCAATTCATTCTAAATCTAGCAAACATTCTACTGACATTAACTCTCATCACACCACAATTCTTCATTCACACATTATAAATCAGCACACCATCAAGTTATCAACATCTTCCTAATTTCACATATACACACACCCGCACACATATTTGTGGATACCACTTTACTTTCAAAGGATAAAATTGATGGAATGTATATAATCATTTTAAAAATGTTTGAATAATAAATAAATCATATAAAAAAAACAATATACCATTAAAATTGCATACCTCATTTATACAATACAAATTGTACATTACTACAGACTTGCCTTTTCCCACAAAATATTTACATATTTTCTGTGCACACTATTCATCTTTTACAATCACCTGTGAATCCCTCCTACATTAAGGTGCACCCCATTCATGTTTAACTTTATCTTCTTCTACATGTTCTACTTTCCATTTTTGTGTATCTGAGGACTGATCACAGGGATTCATAAATATTTCTTTATTATTTGGATCACAGTCTAAACACTGATTACTAATTGTATGAAATATTTGTTTTGTGTCCTGAAAAAAAAAAACAGAAAAAAGTTTTGTAAGTAATAAGGCTTGTATAATAAGTGCTTTCACCAAGTGTTCCAATAAGTGTTAAAATTTCAGAGCAAATGGCAACACTTAATGCTATATCAGTTAATTTTTTCAATAAAAGAATGAAATAGATTGCTGTAGTTTCATATATACAAACCCCCTTGGCACTCTCAGAGCTAGCATGCTTGCCTTGAGAAAGTGTGGGAGGTCATTGGTTTGATCCCTTACCTCTTCAAACTAAACAAGTGAAGATTGGTAATTGCTGCTCCTCTTTAAGAATGTATTATTCTTATAATATATTCTTAACGATAACCCAGACCATTTAAAAAGTTCTCGATCCTTTCCCAAAAATTACCAGATTCGAGGAAAAAAGAAGGAGAGATTTGGAAACAGAAGCAACCACAGAAAAATACACATAAGGAGCAGTCCATGACTGAAGATTAACATACAATACATAAGTACACAAAGTCAAAATTATTTGGAATACCAGACAATCCACTTAGAGAAAAGAGGAAGAAACCAGAAACGAAATGAACCACAGGAACCACAAAACATATTTATGAAGAAAATCTTGATTCATGGACACTTTATTAACAAAGTAAAAATTAACGAATCTACCAAGATTTACAATTACCAAAATTTGTGGTGATCATACATTTCACACTATTCCCAACACAATTGGAAGCAGTACCTCCCTCGGAGCTAAGCCAGTTGAATTGGTACAGGATGACCAGTGGGGTGTTGTCCAATTTGGAAATGAACTGACATTTTATGATCTACTTTCATCATTTCTACAACAATACCACTAGAAACCTCCATGAGAATAACTACACAGACGTGTGTGAATAGCAGCTAACCACATCGCTAATAACTTTATTGACTAATTTTCACTTTTAACTTAACTAAATTCTTATTTCACTTTCACTTTCACTTTCTATTTATATCTATAACGTCGTCATAACAACCATTATTGTAATATTACTTCCGGTGAACCGCATGAACCGCCAAATTTGTACTTCACTGTTTGATTTCATGTGTAATATTGTCCTGTAGACGCCACGCTTGATGGCGAAACATGTCGACCAGAATAAACTCTTACCATGTGGTAATTGATGGGTGTTGTTGTCTTTATTATCGTTTTTTTACTTGTGAATGTTGTGTAAATAATTACTCCACGAAAACTACTTCGTATACAGTATAAAGAATAATGATTTTTTTGTGAAGATAGAAATTACTGTAGGATAAGCTGACATATTTGAAATAATTTTTTTAAATACCTTCAAAACTGCTGTTATTTCATTTACTTATTTAATTACAGACCTTGTATCGAAACTTTAGTTGCAAGCAGGGGCATTCATGTTTATCTCAGCAAATCCAATATTTGTCACTGATTTTTTATGATAATGATAAAGTAAGATGCAACTCAAACTACATACAATGTGTATTTATTATTATGATAGTTTTAACTGGTAAATTTACTTACTATATTATATTTGAATCGTTGATTTCCTTTCATACCATGACAATTATATAAAAGAACTGGTGCTTTCCTAATAGATTGTGATACATCAAAACATACAGATCTCCTTCCTGGACGCATATCTTTATGCCAAGTAAATTCTATGTTCTGTAGATTAAATAAAAAAAACATTTTAAATACTTTACATTCTCAAAGAAATTTTTTAGAAAATACAAGGAAATTGTATTTGCAATTGAATAAGTGGCAATTGTTCAGTATCGGCCATTATGATGTTATAGGCAACAATCTTCGTTTCAAATGCCATATCAAACCCTTAAATTAATCTGTTTATCTGTATTATGACAGGTCACTGACAATTATTTTTAGGTATATAATAAAGGCCGTATACAATACAAATTGTTCAATATCACACACTGTATCAACCCTTTACCAATATAATTATATTGGTGTCTCAGATTTTTTGATACTAGTGTGATATTTAAATATTCTCTATGTATTTCTTTATTTCATAATATCTGAACTTGAAAACATGGATAGAACTTCACAATAGCTTAGGTGGACTTTGTTGTTTCCACCAGCCTATCAAAGACTGCCCTCTCTTTCTTACTAAGTAATCTAAAGAATTAGAAAATAAACGTGTATTTTAAAGATTGAAAAATAGCTATTGAGCTTGAAAGTTGCATTTCTATTCATTTACAATCAACATCAACTAATAATAATGCCAGTTCAGAACAGAAAAAGGAATTATTTTGAACAATAATATCGCTTTACCACCCCCATTGTCTAAAGAGAACATATTTTTATTATACACCAATTTCTGATGTCATTTAAATGTTTATGGACAAAATGTATCCATACATCCTTGTACTGAAAAGGTCATTAAGTCAACTTACCACATTTCAAGCATGTGTCTATTTTCAATGTCCATTGTGCAACCCTACATACAGCAATATATTAGGTTGGCCATTTATCACATTTATCTAAGCAGCGATATGGAAATTATCCCAATCAAAATATTCATCTCTTTGCTTGATATACTGACAACAATTTTATGACCAACAAAAGCATTAATGACATAATACTATGTTTTCTAAAACAGAATACTTTGACGGAGAGATTGGGATAAAGCATATTTGTCAAGTTTTACCTGTTCCCCTCCAGCATTACCACCATCTTTAATACAAGGTTCTATAGAAAATCTTTCATTCTGGCCTTTAAATCTTGTATCTATACACATATTAGCTGCAACGTTCCTGATCTGCAATAACAGTTAAAGCTAATGAAAATACAGTAAATCTTTCATTCTGGGTTTTAAATTATGTATCTATACAGATATTAACTGCAACATTTCTGATCTGCAATAACAGTTAAAGCTAATTAAAATACAGTAAATCCTTCATTCTGGCTTTTAAATTGTGTATCTATACAGATATTAACTGCAACATTTCTGATCTGCAATAACAGTTAAAGCTAATGAAAATACAGTAACTCTTTCATTCTGGGTTTTAAATTGTGTATCTATACAGTTATTAACTGCAACATTTCTGATCTACAATAACAGTTAAAGCTAATGAAAATACAGTAACTCTTTCATTCTGGGTTTTAAATTGTGTATCTATACAGATATTAACTGCAACATTTCTGATCAGCAATAACAGTTAAAGCTAATTAAAATACAGTAAATCTTTCATTCTGGCTTTTAAATTGTGTATCTATACAGATATTAACTGCAATATTTCTGATCTGCAATAACAGTTAAAGCTAATGAAAATACAGTAACTCTTTCATTCTGGGTTTTAAATTGTGTATCTATACAGATATTAACTGCAACATTTCTGATCGGCAATAACAGTTAAAGCTAATTAAAATACAGTAACTCTTTCATTCTGGCTTTTAAATTGTTTTTCTATACAGATATTAACTGCAACATTTCTGATCTGCAATGATGATAAAAGTTACCTTCTATACATTAAATTCTGACAGAGTTGATCAAACTTTAAACCAAGACTTTCGATTTAACTGTATTTCTCATCTTGACACATTCAAAAGCATGTCTTACATTTGTTTAGCTGTCAAAATGTTTGTCGTAAAAAATTAATGGTTTTATTTTTAAGGAACAACTGTAAAATGCTTTTAGCTTTGCCTTGTGAATAGAATGAACAATCACAGACTTTTCTTAAAATAGTTCACAAATTTGTAACACAATTCTTAAGAATTATTTCTGTATGAACTCTTGCTAACATTACACATTCAATCTTAAATCAAGATCTTAAATTATTGTAGAAGCAAACAATTCCAGACCTTCGTAAAGGAGTTTCTATTCCTCCTGGGCCCTGGCATATGTTCCTCCATAAAGATTATTATTTACCATAGTATGATTAAATGTCTGTTTTTGAACAAATATTGTATGCCCATTTTACCATCAATAACAATATATTGTAATATTTCATCCAGCAAAAAAATATTCCAGACTATTTTTTTTCCTTGGAACTAATATAACAAAGGAACTTTTTTTCTGTGTCACCTAAACATGCTTACCTCACCATTAGCAAACGGAGGAGGTTCTACTGCAGGATAATAGTCCTCTAAATCTGTGACACCTTAACATACTTACCTCACCATTAGCAAACGGAGGTGTTTCTACTGCAGGATAATAGTCCTCTAAATCTGTGACTGACCCCTTAACATGCTTACCTCACCATTAGCAAACAGAGGTGGTTCTACTGCAGGATAATAGTCCTCTAAATCTGTGACCCCTTAACATGCTCACCTCACCATTAGTGAATGGAGGTGGTTCTACTGCAGGATAATAGTCCTCTAAATCTGTGTCACCTTAACATGCTTACCTCACCATTAGCAAACGGAGGTGGTTCTACTGCAGGATAATAGTCCTCTAAATCTTGGACACCTTAACATGCTTACCTCACCATTAGCGAACGGAGGTGGTTCTACTGCAGGATAATAGTCCTCTAAATCTGCGACACCTTAACATGCTCACCTCACCATTAGTGAACGGAGGTGGTTCTACTGCAGGATAATAGTCCTCTAAATCTTCGACACCTTAACATGCTTACCTCACCATTAGCAAATAGAGATGGTTCTACTGCAGGATAATAGTCCTCTACTTAACATGCTTACCTCACCATTAGCAAATGGAGGTGGTTCTACTGCAGGATAATAATCCTCTAAATCAAATGCTACTTCCTTCATGAACCATTTAAATGGTTTACATTTCAGTTTCTGTCTGATTGCTTTCTGTGCTGTTAAATCTCCTGGGTCTATTGATTTATAATGTGGTCTATGATTGTATAAATATGAGGCATATTCATCCATCCATACCTCAGCTACTCTCTTATAGTTCTAAAATTAAACCAAAATAATTATGACCTGTAACAGATAATCTGTGCTACTTAATAATACAAACATTTTTCAGTACTGAAATACAGAATAATTCTAATATGATTTATCAACTAATTTTTGCCAGCAATTTATTTCTTTGACTTTCAAGAGTAGAAAAATAACCAGAATATGTCAAACTTGGATATCTGAATACACCAACAAAGTAAGAAAATTGCGATTCACCATTTTAAAAAAAAATGTTGGCAGAAACTATAGCAGATAGAGCTAAATCATCTAGAAAGTATCTGTGAAAAAAGTGGGTTTACAGTAATAATGAATCCTTTACTAAATTGGTTACAAGAGATTCCAGTAATAATTTTTACGCAATTTATTTTTACGATAGACCAAATAACTTTCATATAAACAACATTTTCTATCTTAAGCAACATCAGCCATGTTTCCTCATGGATCTAATCCCTGGATACAATTTCAAACCAAATTCCCTAAGGAACATTCAGGTAAAGTTAGGTTATAGTGATTTCAGAGGAGAAATTTAAAAAAAAAAGTTTACGAAGAAGGAAGGACAGACTGATTGATGGACAAAGACACTAGAAGCCAAGTGATGGCAATAGCTTACATGAACTATTAGGCCAGATGAGCTAAAAAAATGTTTAATCTTATAGGAACACATATTTGTTATATTTTTTTTACTATACAGTTCATATATCTTCCCTCATCCTTTATTATAGGAAATTCCCTATCAATCTATATATTTCAGCCCTATCCTTCCAATTCATAGCCATCATTCATCCAGTCATTCCCTCATCCTTAAAATAAGTTATAGGGAAAACTCTTATATAATTACATAGTGGCAATACCAACAGACCACCATTTTGGATCTATTTAATATATACTTTGAATTCATTATCACAAACTTTTATACTTCTTCATAACAGATTTAATCCAAGATCACATTTCCTAGAATATGCAATTGAGTAAAAATTTGTAAGGAACAAATTACTAAATTTTGTTCCATCAGATTAAATTTACTTTTTACAAATATTTTTAATCACTTATTATAAATCAAGAATAAAAACTTACATAAAATAAAATATATTTTACAAATTACACAAAATAAGTTTTGCTGAACTTATTAATTGATTGATTGTTTTTTTTTTACTACTGTTTCAGTTCAATTGGCTATTTTGTGATCGTCAGTTTATATTGGCGCAGGAAGCCAGTGCCTAGAAAGAACCCTGATCTTCTGTGGGAAAGTTGACAATCCTAGTCGATTGGAGTCAAACCTACCTGCATATGCAGGATTCAAACTCACAACCACAGTGTTGACAGGCTAATGATACAATAGTTGAACTACCTAGACCACTCGGCCACTGAGGCCCTTGAAGAATTCAAAAACATCAATTATTGTGTATGAGATACTTACTCTTCCAACAAAATCACCTACTCCTGGATTGGCAAAAGGTGCAAATTTTCTGTAGATATGACCTATTCTAGAACAAGGTGCATCTATCATTTTACCTCCACATTGCCATATCTGAAATTAAGTGTCATTTTAACTTTTTTTTAATAGGTAGCAAGTGTGACATTTGCCTTTTCATGATTGTACTAACAACATTCTGTTTCATGAAAATAAAAGCCACCAAAATTAAAATTATAGGACATTATATTAAAACATGTGAAAAAAACACCAACAAAAATAAACATTTAAAAATATTAAATCGTATTCATTTTTTCTCACAAATATTTTGTTAAAGAATTTTCTTAACTATGAAAAGTTGATATAGATCATAAATTCTCTTAATAACCCCTGCATTTTTTTAAGTGTGCAACATCAGCGCACTAACATTTGCGCTATATTTTTATTAATGCAATAACACACTGATAAGAAACTTAACTTTTTTTTTAAAAGGACACTTTTCTAAAACCTGATGATGACTTGACTGCAGTAAAGCTTGGAACCGAAACAAAATATGTGAAATCTATGTTCTTTTGTAAAGCATTAAGTATAAAAAGTTCAGTCCACGTTATTTTTTCAAGAAAATACTTCAGATGAACAAGGTACACATACTAAAAATGAAAAATAAATGTTTAAAGTAACAGCATAAGTTTTGTACCATCAAAGGGGTTAAATGATGATGAAATGAAGAAAATTAATTTGTTCTTAGTAAAAAGAATTTCCAGAGAAAAAACTTTCTAAAGATTGAGGACACAGTCATAAGTGCACCCTGTTACCTTAAATGAAAGTTCATACTGTTCTCCACCCCAGATATCTAGTCCTGGATCATAGCCACCCATCTCCCAGAACCACTTGGCACTAATAGCAAATAAGCCACCTGCCATTACTGGTGAACTGAAACAAAATAAAAACATAGAGTGAGTTCCATTAGCAAATCTGCACTGTCAGATTAAATATAAATTCTCTAAATAGTCATGTCATTAATAATAGATCAGTCAATTCTTCAAGCATTATTTATTTACATTGTCAAAAAATCTTTTAGGTATTCAAGATCTCGGAGGTGACCATGTTACACATTAGCAGGTGCAGATCCAGGTTTTAAAAGAGGGCAGCACATCAACTTATGCAAAACAAATTACATTTTCCTGATTTTAGGGGAATGTGCCTCCTGAATCAGCCCCTTTTTCAGTAAAATAAATATCAAACAATAACTGACCACAAAAACATTAAATATCTGATTACTTGAAAGGTTCAGCTGGCTGTCTTAGATCTTCTGGCCTCAATGGCAATCTTTTGTAGAAGAATTCCCAATCAAAAGCACCCCTTGCACCTTCGTCCTGGGCTCTGTAGGCAAATGTTTCATAGTCTACCACATCAATAAATGGACACACAACAGTCTTGTAATCCTCTTGTATTGGATCTGTAGAAAGTAAAACAGAAAATACATGTACAAAGCTAAGATGTTCCACTTTTCAATAAAAATAGATACTATGATTGTGGAAATGAGAGTGTGCATTTTTTAATGTAAATTAAAAAGTTGACTGAAATGCAAGATTTATTAATATGATTTAGTAAGAAAATTTACCATAATATGCTTGATCAGAATGATAGTCATGATAATGTGAGTTATTCATTGATCTGAACCCAGCCATGTTTTGGGTAAATCTGATTAAAATACAGGTCCTGTGTCCAACAAGCTTACAAGGATCTGACAACACTCTGTACTACTGTCTGTACTACTGTCTGTTTGGAAAGACCTTTTCATGATAATATTGTTTTGTCATAATGATGTACACCTTCAAAAATTTGGCAGAAGAATTTCATTGGTTGACCTTATAATTTTCAAAATAGAGAGTGGATTTGAGATTTCTTTGTCTGATCCTTGTTATCAAGGTGTGGACACTGGATCTGTATTTCCTGGGTAAAGTTTTGCAGATTGTCAAATAGTGATAAGGTCTATGACACTGATACAAGTAACATGAGGGTACCCAAATTGCATCTATTTTGACAATTGTTTCACCTACGTTTATTTATGATCCAGACAAAAGTTTCCATTCTGTGTTTATTTTGTAGATGTATCCTTATTTACTATATAGTTCCACCAATTTAATTTTGAATCAATATTGAATCATTGAAAAAAGGGTTTAAACCGACCTCCAAACGATCCATGATTCTGTAATATGGAGTATCTAAATTGCATCCATGCTTAAATTCACATCCGTAAAAATCAAATAACTGATGTTTTGTTTTGTTTCTCCAAATATTAAAAACAATTTGACAATTTTTTTTTAGCTCATGCTTACTATTCATTTTTTAAGAAATGGATGCCTGTAACATATTTTAATGGCTCATTTTTAAAAGTTGACTTATTGTGGACGTCGCATATCGATGTTTCCTTTGACTTTACTTTTTCCTGTGAACACTTCATCTATTGATATATACTGTGAACGTTTCGTGTATCTTTAAACATATTTAGCTATGTTGCAGGACGTGCATAATGTCAAATCATAAAAACACAAATTGCTTAGTCTCTAAGAAAAATTGTAAGATTTCCACTGCTAATCTTGCTAAATGGGTGCAATTTGGGTACTGTGACGTTATAAACATAAAAAAAATTTAGCTTTCAAATTATCCACTGAACATAGGTGGCAATACTTTACTTTAGTAAGAAAGAATGTACATGTATATCTTGTATATGCAGATGAGTCATCTATGGTAATGAAGGTATTTTAGTTAATAGGTGCAGATGAAACATCTGGTTACTTACAAAATGGAGAAGGTAACCAATTGATAAAGACTTTATAGTAAGAGTCTTGAATGACACAGGCATTACTCATAGCAGTTTTAACACAACAAAATCTAATTACTAACCAAGAAGAGGAGGTAACCAGTTGACATTTGTTTCACAATGAGAGTCTAGGAAGATGAGAACATCTCCTGTAGCAGCTTTAGCACCCAGTAACCTCGTTCTTATTAATCCTTCTCGTTTCTGTGCTCTAACAACTTTTACAATGGTGGAAAAGTCTTTGAATTGTTCAGCAACATATTCATCTAACTGCTTTTTAAGAAACTCTGAAAATAAATATCTTTTGTTTTACATGGTAATTGAAAGGAAAACATGTATTGGAAATTTTAATGACAGTTTTAAATTGATAAATTGAACATTGGTTGCTGAATGGTTGAATGTTTTGACTCATCTGTCTTTCCTTTTTATGAAGATAATGATGGATGTCTGTTTAACGTCCAGTGGAAAATTAAATGCATAATCAGGATGAGACATGTTAACACAATATGCATATGAACCCTGCATTGTACTTGACCCACATGCTGAGCTTGATTTTTAATGTGCTAGTTCACAAGGTAAAATTCTCAAGGAAGACATCACCTAATTACTCCAACACTTTAAAAGTTTATTCCGACTCTGAGTGGAACAGTCTTTGTTCCTTCTCCTCAATGCTGTTCCATAGTGGAGAAGCAGCAAATACCAATTTGAAATTCTTTGTTTTGATCCGACTGGGTCAAACCCACAACCTCCCTCACTCGAGGCGAGCACGCTACCACATGACCAGGAAGAGAGACTATTCTTTCCATTAAAATCAGGCAGGTATTAACAGAGTTAAATCATGTAGTCAAAAGTGTCCAATGACACAATATATGGTGACACACCTACGTCTAATGACAAAATTTATGGTGACACACCGATGTCTAATGACAGAATATATGGTGACACACAGATGTCTAATGACACAATAGATGGTGACACACAGATGTCTAATGACACAATATATAGTGACACACATATGTCTAATGACTCAATACATGATGACACACAGTTGTCTAATGGCACAATATATAGTAAAACACAGATGTCTAATAATAATAATCTGATAATTTTGACAATAAATGAATAAGGATCACAAATGTACTAAATTTCAAAGTATCTTCTACAAATTCAATGTCAAAATTTTCTGGTTAGTTTTTGGAGATATTTTTTTCAAAAAGTTCTCATGGAAACAGTTGGTAGCTGATTGTCTTATTTCTTACTTTGTCTAAAGCACATCTGAACGAAGGTGATGGTTGTTGAACCAGCTTTTACAGCTTGCCAACCCTCACACTTGTATGATAGCTTGTTCTGTAATACCTTTTGGGTCATATCTAAATACAGAAGTTAGTATGAAAACAAACCTTTACTGCTAAAATCATCAACCAATATGACCTCTTTTAGAAGACCTGGTGGTGATCTCTCAACAGCACTCCATGCAGTCCTAAGTAATGTGGACCAGTGTTCATTATGGAAAGGGACTATTACACTAGCTGTTGGTAGTTTATTCCAGTACTTCTTATTTTTACAACTGTAATGATAAAAAATCAAATAAAAACTCATATTTGATTCATTTGCTGCAACAGAACATGCTCAAATATTTTGTTTTCATAAAAAAAAAATGCCTTAACAAATTCATATATAAATGAGTTTACAATTGTTCCAAGTTTGTAATAATTGCTCAAGCAATTATTGTATGATTGATTTATTTTGATATTAGAAGTATGCTTGGATTATGGAACAATTTTACTTTTGTTTCTGAACCTGCCCCAAGGGTCAATATTCTTACAGTATTAAGTACAAGTACTAATCCAAGAATCTTGCAGTTCAGGTACTTATATTTGGTTGGTGAGTACCGATATTAAGCTTGGTTTATGAAAGTTTATATAGAAACATTTTTTATAGTAAAATATGCGTCTATCTAATAGTATCTTCGTATATGTAAGAGAATGATAATCCCTTTCTTCATGATTAAGTACGAGCGTTAGTGAGTACTTATCATGAAGTAAGGGATTATCATTCTCTTACAAACTTAGAATATTGTAAAGTGGTCAAGGTTCTCAAATGATCTCTTAATTGGTTGTATTTAAGAATTAGTTTCATTGTCAGTGCAATGTTTTTAATTAATGCATGACTTCCTTTTTAGGCATTTCATTTATGGATAAGTTTTAGTGATGGAAGGACTTTCATATCATTTGGGAATTATTTTTAAAAAATATTTCGTTATAGATATTAGGTGACACAACAGAACAAAGAAATTGTAGGAATTGTATATGTTTCCTGATTGTGAGTATGAATGTATATCATGTAATATTTTAGTGAGAAATTATCCTTTTTTTTAATTTACAGTTTACATGTAAATCAAATGATACATTTGAGTTACAACTAAATTTTATTTAACAGCCAATATTTTGGTCTGGCTTTTTACATCAAATACTATTTCATTATGTCAGGGAAATTTTCAAATAAAATGCCTTTAAAAGTTTTTAATATGTTCAAAACTAAAATTAAATTCCTGTTTTTTTTTAGTTCTTTTTTTATTTTGTCGGAATATTGGAAATAACTAATCTTCCAAACTGCTGATCCAGTAATCAAAGTTTTTGAAAGCTAAATATTAAGTTGTTGTTTTTTTTTATTTCAAAGCTTTTTTTTTTTCTTTTTTTGCAAATGCTTTGATATTGTTTAATTATTTAGTAATTTGAAGAATATTATAATAATAACATTCACGGTACCAATTTAACTGCACAGTAAACTTCAACTTATTTAGAGTTTTTTCTTTGTTTCACAATTCAACTTTTAGTCACTTTGTGATAAATCCTTTCAATCTGATAAATGTGCTTGGGGGCAGTTGTAACTCATTTATAGAAACTCTTTGTTTTGAACTGTAAATAGACCCAAATAACAATGAATAATAGGATAATCCCTTACTAAGAACATGATTTGCATTCATTCTTCACAACTAAGAGGCATCAGATCCTACAATTTCATTGGTTGAGAGCACTTTGCTATATTCTAAATATTGGGTAAAACTTAGTAATAAAAATTCAATCTTTATAATCTTGATTAAATGTTTTGCCAATGTTTTATCTAAAAAAATCTTAAATATCTTTTTTTTAAATTATCTAACAAAAGTAAAACCTTACTCAGGATGTCTGATGTCCTTCATGGATCTTTATATAGAAACATTTTTTATAGTAAAATATGCGTCTATCTAATAGTATCTTCATATTGAGTAAAACATAGTAATAAAAATTCAATCTTTATAATCTTGATTAAATGTTTTGCCAATGTTTTATCTAAAAAAATTTTAAATATCTTTTTTTTAAATTAAATCGAACAAAAGTAAAACCTTACTCAGGATGTCTGATGTCCTTCATGGATCTATGCATGGAGATCTTATCACTTGCAAAGGCATTAAAACCATTCACTTTATATAAGTCTGCTTTCTTCTTCTCTTCCCCAGCATCTAATATGACAGACTGTCCCTGCTCACCAGGACCTACAAATAGAGAGCTTAATCAATTTCAAACATTTAAAGACAGTTAATTAGTTAGATTTCCATGGAAGATCTTTCATCATCTGCTAACAACTATAAACTGAACACATCCATTTCACTATGGGGAAACCCCAGAATATAATCATGTTAATAAAATAATGCAGGACAAGGATGAGATCAAATGTAACCAATTCTAGCAGATATAATGTAAAGTGGTATATTTGTTTGCAGAATAAAAATTTGGCCATTATAAGGACAAATCTTTACTTGTTTTTTTTCTTGTCCCTTATTCTAATCATCCTCAAAAGATCAAATTGTGCAAAGATATATTTTCATGATTTTATCTTAGTTGCAAAATTTGCAGATAACAAAGAATGTGTCCATAGTACACAGATGCCCAAATTGCACTATCATTTTCTATGTTCAGTGGACTGTGAAATTGGGGTCAAAACTCTAATTTGGCATTAAAATTAGAAAGATCATATCATAGGGAACATGTGTACTAAGTTTCAAGTTGATTGGACTTCATCAAAAACTACCTTTACCAAAAACTTTAACCTGAAGCGGGACATACGGATGAATGGACGGACGAACAAACAGATGCACAGACCGAAAAACATAATGCCCCTAGGTAGGGCATAAAAACCTCTTGAAAAATTTCCTTTTAATAGTATGTGATAAAGAGTATCATAAACAAACATGACTTTAAAAATGATGAACAGATATATATATCCTTCGTGTTGCTTTCTGTACAGACCAACAGCTTAACTCTATTCACTGAGGTCATGTGAACTTAAAAATAGACACACAGACAAGCAACAAACTGCCAGGCATCCAACATCTGTTTTATGTTGTTTTTTTTAAGTTGAGCCCACAACTATTATAAAGTGTTTAAAAGTCTTTGCTGATTAAATAACGATAATAGGAAATCCTCACCGGTTCTTTGTTTTTCTTCAGCTATCTGTTTATAATTATGCCAATCTATTTTTTTCATGTCTCCATCTCCAACAATCAGTGCCTACAATACAAAATATCTGATGAAGATTCTTAATAATACTTTTCAGTAAGTTTTTCTTACTTGTATCTATTGTTCTTTTCACTTTCTGTGGGTGGAAATGTTGATGTATAGTTGACCATATAATTTAAGTTTCTCTTACCTTATAGCCTCTTACAATAGTACTTTAAACACAGTATAAATTTGCCAAATATTTCTACAAAGTTTTGAAAATAAAAATGTGTGTATGCTGTTACTGTTCAGGAGTAACTAGCCAATTCTTATATAAAAATGTAGTGAAAGTACTTTACAAAATATCAGAGATACCTTTAACTGATTGCAGACAAAATTTTGTAAAATATTTTAAGAGAATTCCTATTTCTGTAGTTTCTGTAGTGAAAATTCATTGATTTGGAATTTCATTGGTCCAGACAAGTACGTAATTTGCCCATTACAATTCAATGAGAAATAGCATTTCATCAAGCATCAAAAAACAAAATCCAGGAAAAGGAGAAGGTACAATTTTGGACCCAAATTAGCACTAAAATCAAACCTTTCTCCAATTTGCAGAATTAAATTTTGAATCTATGCATATTTCATTTCTGTTTTTTTGTTATAATACAACACTGTTTTTTTACAAATTATGCAGCCATGAAATGACAGTAAACTAGTGAAATTGAAAAATTTTACAAAATATTGAGTTTGACCATCATACATGCTTAAAAATAATTTTTATAGCACTACTCCCATCTAAAAGTATTAACACACATGAAGTGCAACTGGTGATTGTCTACTAGTTGACAAAAATTATTTTGGGTGACACTTGTACTCTTTATCTAGGCAAAATGTTTTTGAAATTTTTGCACTGATGGCCAAACTCTGGCAAATCTCATTTATTATATTATTCTTATGACGTCACAGCCAAATTGATGTTTACATTTTCTGAAAAGTTTCCTTCAAATGTTTACAAAAAATGATTTTTGATGGTATGATGCGAATTTTCAATTTCCTCAAATTTACAGGGCCAACAAACATGATTAAAATCCCCAAAATGCACCTTCTGGAAAGATCCCCTTCCTCTGTCATTGTCTGATGATAGCATAAGCATAGGCAATCTTAAATTGGATTGACAAAAAAATCTTATTAAATACTTTTTTGAGGCGTAAAAAACAAGACATTTTGCATGGTTTTTCATGATCTGATTTATAAAAACCCTAATTCCTTAGTTAACAAAGTTTTATATACTGAACTGTCATAGTATTACATTGTATCGCCTTCTGACACTCATAAAACTTCTCAACACTATCTCTATTCCTTACACGTTTGTTTCCTCCTCCTCCTCCTTCATGAGGAAACTTGCTATCAACGTACACCTCTTCTGCACCTCCATGACCACCTGTAAAGTACTTGATGGCCATAATACACAGCACAGCTGCTACTAAAAACTTGAGTAAGGTCACAGTGTTCCTCCTCATGATGCTATGTCAGCAACTATACCATTGGTTTCCACCTCCCTGAAAATAAAAATCTAGTGTTTAAAAGTACCATTATACAAATAAAAAAACCTAATCTCCTTTTAGTTTTTACAAAAACATTTTTAGACTTGCTAGTCGTAAAAAATATTTTTGACTAATGAAGCCTCTATTCTATTCTAGATAAAATGCTTCGCTGGGGCGCAGCTTGATACGACCGCAGAGGTCGAACCCTGAACAGTTGGGGCAAGTTTGGACACAACATTCAAGCTTGATACAGCTCTGAATTTGGATTGTTATTAAATATTTGACACAGCATAGGTTTCTGACACAGAAAGAATGTGGTCTAAGAACTTGAATTTTTTTAATTTACCTATTATGGTCCAATGTCCAAAATCAAAATACATGGTTAGATTCAGCATATCAAAGAACCCCATACATTCAATTTTTGTTAAAATCAAACAAAGTTTAATTTTGGACCCCAACTTGGACAAACTTGAAAACTGGGCCCATAATCAAAAATCTAAACACATGTTTAGATTCAGCATATCAAAGAACCCCAAGAATTCAATTTTTGCTAAAATCAAACTAAGTTTAATTTTGGACCCTTTGGACCTTAATGTAGACCAATTTAAAAAACGGGACTTAAAATTAAAAATCTAAATACACGGTTAGATTTGGAATATCAAAGAACCCCAATAATTCAATTTTTGATGAAATCAAACAAAGTTTAATTTTGGACCCTTTTGACCTCAATATGAACAAATTTGATAGCGGGGCCCACAAATAAAAAATCTAAATTCATGGTTAGATTCAGCATATCAAAGAACCCCATATATTCAATTTTTGTTGAAATCAAAAAAAGTTTAATTTTGGACCCCAACTTGGACCAACTTGAAAACTGGGCCCATAATCAAAAATCTAAACACATGTTTAGATTCAGCATATCAAAGAACCCCAAGAATTCAATTTTTGTTAAAATCAAACTAAGTTTAATTTTGGACCCTTTGGACCTCAATGAAGACCAATTTAAAAAACGGGACCCAAATTAAAAATCTAAAAACACGGTTAGATTTGGCATATCAAAGAACCCCAATAATTCAATTTTCGATGAAATCAAACAAAGTTTAATTTTGGACCCTTTTGACCTCAATATGAACCAATTTGATAGCGGGGCCTACAAATAAAAAATCTAAATACATGGTTAGATTCAGCATATCAAAGAACCTCATATATTCAATTTTGTTGAAATCAAACAAAGTTTAATTTTGGACCCCAATTTGGACCAACTTGAAAACTGGGCCCATAATCAAAAATCTAAATACATGTTTAGATTCAGCATATCAAAGAACCCCATATATTCAATTTTTGTTGAAATCAAACAAAGTTTAAATACTGGACCCTATCTTGGACCAACTTGAAAACTGGGCCCATAATCAAAAATATAAACACATGTTTAGATTCAGCAAATCAAAGAACCCCAAGAATTCAATTTTTGTCAAAATCAAACTAAGTTTAATTTTGGACCCTTTGGACCTCAATGTAGACCAATTTAAAAAACAGGACCCAAAATTAAAAACCTAAATACACGGTTAGATTTGGAATATCAAAGAACCCCAATAATTCAATTTTAGATGAAATCAAACAAAGTTTAATTTTGGACCCTTTTGACCTCAATATGAACCAATTAGATAACGGGGTCCACAAATAAAAAATCTAAATACATGGTTAGATTCAGCATATCAAAGAACCCCATATATTCAATTTTTGTTGAAATCAAACAAAGTTTAATTTTGGACCCCAATTTGGACCAACTTGAAAACTGGGCCAAAAATCAAAAATCTAAATACATGTTTAGATTCAGCATATCAAAGAACCTCATATATTCAATTTTTGCTAAAATCAAACAAAGTTTAATTTTGGACCCTTTGGACATTAATGTAGACCAATTTGAAAACTGGACCCAAAATTAAAAATCTAAATACACTGTTAGATTCGGCATAACAAATAAATAAATGTGATCAAGGATTTTACAAATCTAATGCGCCATACTGTGCAATTAAAGATTACTTCTTGAAATTTTTCAATATTTGAAATTTGAAAAAAAATTAATATTTGAAGAATAATTCTTTTTAATTTCTGAAATCTGAAATGAGAAAAAATTGGCCCCCCCCAATTTCTTTTTATCCCCCCCCCCCTTTTTCCCCCAAAAAAATTCTTTCCCTCAAGATATGGTCATAATCTCAATTCAAATTTCCAATGGAGTTGGCAACCATAATTACCCATTTAAATTTACCATAGTGCTAACTTCTATTTTATAATAGAATTAATAAAAATATAGTGTCAAATCTTTCATATGGATTTTTTTGTAAAAAAAAAAGATGAAAACATTTGCAGATATTTTTACTGGTCTTCCTTTATAAATATGCATTTCTTTAAACATAATTTAAAAGCAGTGTAAGGGAAGTAACCAAAACGTTGTATTTGGATTACCTCCCTTACACTGTTTTAGATTATCTTTATTGTTCATTAACCATTACTTTATACATAATTTAAAAGCAGTGTAAGGGAGATAATTTCAATGATATATTTGATTTATCTCCCTTACACTGCTTTAAATATGTTTTGTACTAAAGTATTTGTCCATTAACCAGGACAACCTTGTTTTTCCCCCTTTTTTGCCCCTAATTCCTAAACGGTTTGAGCCATAACCCCCCAAAGCAAATCCTAACCATCCCTTTGTGGTATGGAAACTTGTAGTATAATTTCAGAGAGATCCATACACCGTTCCACAGTTATTGTCTGGAAACTAGAAAATGCTCATTTTTGGCCCCTTTTTGGCCCCTAATTCCTTAACTGTTGGTACCATAACCCCCAAAATCAATCCCAACCTTCCTTTTGTGGTATTTAACCTAATGGTCAAATTTCAAAAAGATCCATTCACTTAAACTAAAGTTAGAGTGCGAAAACCAATATGTATTCGGACGACGACGCCGCCGGACGACGACGACGACGCCAACGTCATACCAATATACGACCACAAAATTTTTTTGCGGTCGTATAAAAATGTTACTGGCCATGCAACATTTTTACTAGCCTTGGCCGCAGGTGTTGTGGTTAATATTTGTGAAGACTGCCATATATTCTGCCTGTTTTAGTTTTTATTCCAGTGTGCTATATGTCACTCCTGACTTGTTCCAATGTTTAAGGAAAGAAGGACTTTGCCCTACGACCTAAGAAATATCTTTTAGTTAATTAAGGATGACAACTTGTTGATTTATAATTTCATCACAAATCATGTGAGATTTGTCCATTTATCATTTATGGTTAAATATTCAAAGTAGGTTATAATTCATACAAATGCTGATCTTTTATTGGCTGAAAGACAAATCCTTTGATTCCATCATATGTTTTTATTTTATAAAAATGAGACAACTCTTCACCAGAGACCAAATGACATAGACGTTAACAACTACTTTGAAATCAATATCTTCATTATGTCAATTTCAGCTATATAATATAATGTATAATTGATTGTATGTGGAATGATACTGATTTTATCTAAAAAGACAATTTATGCTAAACTTTTGATTCAACATGTTTTAAAATTACATATATTTTTTTTTATATCTAAAATCTGGAAATAAAAGTAAAAGAGAGGCGAAAGATACCAGAGGAACATTCAGACTCTTAGTCGAAAATGAACTGACAACGCCATGGCTAAAAAAGAAAAAGACCAACAGACAAACATTAGTACACAAAACACAACATAGAAAACAAAAGACTGAGCAGCACGAACAGCACCAAATTAAATGTTGTGTTTTTGAAATTTATATGAAATGAAAGCAAGTGACCATAACATTTTTTGCAAGAAGTATATATATACTTCTGTGCAGGGCATAAAAATAAATAAATATCAAGAATTGAGAAAAAAATGTGTAAATGATATGTTTATACTTCAACTGGAAATACAAAAAAGAAAGGCTATGTAGGTTTTAAGTTTTTAGGATTATATTAGAAGATGTATTTATGACTATACAGCTGTCACCAAAATATTGACATGTATATAAAGTCAAGATATATAATACTGTAAGCTAATATCTTTTTTCTTATCTTACCATGACTGACAGTTCTCAATAAACCTTTTAAGAAATGTTATTCATAAGTAATTCCCTGAAACATGTGTTTCATGATCTATTTGAAAGTATTGACTAAAACATGTAATAAATAGATAAAATTTATTTTATGTGAAGATGTCTATATACATCATGTACATGTACCTGTGCACTCAATAATTTGAACAATTGCTATTAATTTGTAAATTTTCCTGAAATTAATTAATTTGTGAATGTACACATGGTACAGGGTCTTATCAAGGGGTAGGGAATAAACTTCTTAATATACATCCAATTTAGCTTTGAATACCCTTGCAGTTGAAATTCAAAATTTTACTACATTTCATCCTAGAATGCACCTAAATAAGGTAATGCTTATACTGAATGAGATTTGTAAAGTCTATTTACGAGAATTCAATTTTGAATTTTCAGGGTCTTTTTAAGGGGATTTGGTAAAGAAAATCTTTACTTTTCAAGTTTGCTGTAAATTCTATTTTATTTGAAATTTAAGTATGAAGTTGGACACTTTCTCCATCTAGAAACCATTTAACTGTAAATCATAGGATTAAGATTTCCAGTAAATGATGTAGTGATAATCATTTAATAGATATAAGATGATGTGGTATGAGTCCATCCAAGTCAAAATTTATAAAAGTAAACCATTATAGGTCAAAGTACAGTCTTCAACACAGAGCCTTGGCTCACACCGAACAGCAAGCTATAAAGGGCCCCAAAAATTACTAATGTAAAACCATTCAAACGGGAAGGTTATTTGAGAAAAATGTTGTTTTGTAAGTCATTGTGTAAGTTACTCTAATTTACGATAAGTTTTCAAATTTTGTGAGATTTCATTAAATTTTTAAGTTAACTTAACTACATATAAGTTAGCGAAAAAAAACCCGGGTAATATATGTATAGTGTTCATAA